AGAAGAAGAAGAAGAAGAAGAAGAAGAAGAAGAAGAAGAAGAAGAAGTAGCAGTAAACTCACGGCTCGGACTGAGAACGATCTACACATTAAGTATTGATGTCTTCTGTCTCACCATCTGGAAGACGACTCGGTCCTTCTCCCTCTCACAGGTCCTGAACATCACTCGTTCATCCGGGGCCACAAAATCCACCGTCTGCAGCACCTCTGGAAACACACAATTAAAAACAAGTTTATTTCTCTTGACGCTCTGAAACACAGGATCCAAGTACGTCCTTCCAGCGCTGACGGTGTTCAACTTAAAGCGAGGGTGAAAACAGACTCTCACCGTTCACCACTCGGTGACACTTCGCCATTTTGATGTCGATCAACTCCTGAAACAGACAGAAAAGAGTTAATAACACGTCAACACTCAAATACACACCGATAGCAGAAGACCACTTCTGACAGGAACACATACAAATACAGGAAAACAGAGTCATTATCAGGACAAGCTTCATTAAAATAAATGAGTTTGTATCTCAGAATAATAAAGTAAATCTATTTATGAGGTACTAACTCTTTGTTTCAATAAAGTATTAATAAATAAAGACTTATGGGATTTTATTTTTTCTGGGCTTCCACAGACTTCAGATGTGTGTGTGTGTGTGTGTGCGTGTGGTGTGTGTGTGTGTGTGTGTGTGTGTGTGCGTGTGTGTGTGCGTGCGTGTGTGCGTGTACACAGTAACATCCATGTGTACAGAGCTTTGTATTTCCCTCATTAACCCCTCCTAACCCTCCTCACCTCACAGTAAACCACGTCCGCTCCGTAGTCCAGAGCCAGCAGCCTCATGGGCAGAGTCCCGATCCGGACCATCGGGGCCAGAGCGGTGATGTTACTGAAGCTCAGCCGGCCCGCTGCCATCATGGAGGCTCAGAGGTCCAGTGAACGCCACGGAGACTATCATACAATGTCATATTATTATTATTATTGTTAGACATCCATCAACTGTTCTTGATTCATGTTTATTATTAGGTAGTTTTGAATTACAATTATTGATCAAATATAATATTATAATATTTTATAATATTATTATTAGAATTATTGATTACGTGTCTGTAAACACTGGAGTTAAACATCCATCAACTGTTCTTGATTCATGTTTATTACTATTATTATTTTATTACAATGGTGTAATAATGTAATATTAATATATAATATATAATTATATTATAATATTGTATATAATATTATCATTATTATAACAATAATAGTTAGACATCGAAGCCTCGTTTTCTCACCAGACTCCGCTCACAAACCAGCTGATTTAATGAGGTTTCGGTTTTCACCCAAAGTTCACATTTAACAGCCGACAACTAAACACCACAAACTTTAAACCTGAATTATGTTGATTAATATTTCATCCAGAGAACACAATAGAACAAATATAACAGTAAGCTTTAGTACCGGCTGCATTTCTAGCTAACGTTCCTGCTACAGGTCGGAGGATTAATCCGTCTCTCTCCAGCGCTAGAGCCGAACATTAATCAACAAATTATTGACTTTTAATTGCAATAAACGATATAAAAGTATGCCGGAGTCACAACAGAGCGCTGCTGATTGATAAACTGATGATATTTACACTCGTTCAGGTCTGTTATCAAACCGACAAGCTAGCGAACTGTAAACTGCGAGTTTTCTGAACGGAGTGTGGTTATGCTAGTGCTAACACTGTAGCTAGCTGCTCCTTAAACAGACCGTTTGAACACAATGCGAGCTAAAGGGTGAATTCATATGCTTCAGAGGCTTCTGTGTGTACAAATGTGTATCTGTATCATGTATAACTTCACATTAAATTAACTCACCGGCATTTATGTAACAGCAGCTGTAACGTGGGGAAGAAAAACCGAGCGTGCTGTTTCTACTTCCTGTTTGGACTCTTACGTCACCACAGCGTCATAGATCACGATCATGTAGATCAGTGGTCCCCAAACTAAGGCCCGCGGGCCAGATACGGCCCGCCTCCACATTTGGCCCGGCCCCCTGAACAATACCAGAGACGCATTATGATTTTTTTTCAGTCTGGCCACGCAAATCCCAGACTAGCCCTGTGAAATAGAACGGAACAATGGCCAAAAGGTTAGGTAAGAGAAACATAGATTCAGAATGCAGGGTATTTAACCTGCAGTGTCAAACGATTATCTTCTTGTTCAATGCAAAGAAAAGGCTGTTTGTCTCATCTGTCAAGAGGCGGTGGCGGTATTCAAAGAACACAATCTGTGCCGACACCATGAAACCCGTCACAAAGACAAGTACGATGACTTGCAAGGCCAAATGCGAGCAGACAAACTCTCAAAGCTAAAAAGTGGACTGTTAGCTCAGCAGAATACATTTGTACGCCAAGCTGACCCCGGCCCATCAGAGAAGGGAAAAGTTATGTGGCCCTCACAGGAAAAGGTTTGGGGACCCCTGATGTAGATCAACACTACATAGGTTCGAGCCATGGTTATATGTATATACAGTATAAACAGTGGCGGCTGGTCAATAGACCCCACCTTGAGCCACAGCAAATAAAATAAAATAAATAATAATAATAAACGATGCAAGTTGTCAATATTTGTGTTTTTGAAACATGGAATCACCCAGTAATATGTGTAAAATATGATATCTGCGGTAAATAAATGCTTTTCCTGCACGTCCTCTCCGCGCGTGCACGTCTCAGCAGCTCTGGGGCGCTGGAGAAACTGCCCCAAAGAGGCGGGGCTATGAAGCAGTTTAGCCGATTGCTGATTAAAGATATAAATGTGTGACATACAATTTAGCCAATCAGCGTCCTCAAATAGACTTGGTGACTTCTGACGTATAAACCTATAATCAGAACTATTGAAACCAGAGAGTCAGATTTGTTGTGATAAAAATAGGATCAGTAGGATTATCACATTTTACAAAGTTTGTGCAAACCTAAACTCTGATTATTATATTTAATAATATATTAATATATTTATCATTATGACACAATACAGACAGTCTTCTCATTCAAACATCTTTCTGCTTTTATGCGTCAAACGACTGCACAGTTATAAAAAAACGATTTAAATCATTTGAGTCTAAAAATGCTGACTGGCTAATGTTAATTACGTTGCTGTTTTATAACAGCACAGTTGTCTGACAACCAAAATAAAAACCCAGAATCATATAATAGAGGTTATGTGCCAAATTAAATCATAAAATGATAAGTGAGCACAGAGTTGGGAGTAACTGAAAGTTGGCTTTGTACCGTTTATAGAGTCAACATGGGCAAAGTGATTCATTCCTCTACCAAGAAGAAGTGGAGCTACATGTATAATATTAGTCACACGTTTCATTAGCACAGCTTAATAAACATAACAACATTTTAAAAATACTTTGCTGCAAAGATTCGTGAGCACGTCTGCAGTAAATCAGTGGATTCCATCAAACCAGAGCGATGTGCATCGATGTGAGAGAGCAGCAGCAGGTGAGATGGACACGACTACGTTTTGTTAACAACAGATTAATAAACTGGAGCTTGCACTTGGTCTCAGGGAGGCGACAGTGCTTTGTGCAAAAAATGAGTCCAGCGCGTCTGGATTTACAAAAGAAAAGAGTTCAAACTGAACGGCAAAGAGAAGACAGACGGTGGAACACCAAAGTGCTTCTCAAATATACAAATGCAATACACAAGAGCAACCAAACAAAAGGCACTCGCCAAATATATTAAAAATCTAATAGAGTGAATCAGTTAATAAACATTTGAATATACATTCCCCCGTAAAGGCCTTTTCACATAAAGTCTTCAGTTTCCATGAAAATAACACATTTTTTCAAAAGTTAACACATTCAATCTATGATTGCGATGGAAAGTACATTTACTCTCGTACAATTTTGAGGTACTTGTGCTTTACTGAAGTACTTCCATTTTCTGCTACTTTATACTTCCACTTCACTACATTTATTTTAGCTTCTAGTTACTTTACAGATTCAGATTAAAAAGACAAAATATAATCAACAAATAATCAAAATATAATGAACAAAAATGATGGACAATGCATCAAGAAATATAATCCAATCATAGGATATATATTATTGTGAAATGGGCCCGTCTGCATAATGAGTAATTTACCTTTTTGTACTTTTTACAGAACATCTCTGGACCAAGCCGTAAAAACGTTTTTGGGTATTTGTGATGTTCCATTCAGTTTTTCTATAGCTGGTTAGCTCATTACCTGTGGGCAGGTCTTATATTACAAACAAATAGTAGTATACTAACTTAACTACTACTACGACTAAAGTAAAAGCTGTGACTATGTTTATCCACCACTGCTGTCTGCACACTGTGTTTTGTTGGTGCATTTTTATTCTACGCTGTGTTTGAAGTTTAAATTGATATTCAATTTATAGTATTAACAAATACATCGTCCGAACAGCTGATACTTGCACCAGCAGTTGTATAATGAACGGGATGAGTTCCAAGATTTGACATCAGCACATGTTCTAGATTTATCCAGATGACTCAGTGAACCTGCCTTTTGGAGGAGTATCTGTGGCAGATTACCAACAACATGTGGAAATAGAAAGCTGAAGTCTTAACGTGTGACATCCGGCCTGTTCACTGTTCTGCTAGCTTCTGAGACTCAATGCAATCTCTCATTGAGAGAATCTTTTACTGGTGTTTCTGAAAAAGTGAAACGCGTTGTGTTTCCATATTCTGAGATAAATTAGTTTCTATCAGAGGATGTAAGAATTCAAACACTAAAGTTAGCAACAATTCATTTGTTAGCATGAAACAGAAAACTCCAGTCCTGATAAAAAGGTAACTATTGGATTGGCTAGCTCCTCTGTTGGGCTACGACAGTACAATGAAATAAACATTAACATCTAATTGAAACCAGTCTACAGCCATGCAGCTCTGTGCAGGTATAAGGTTTACCAAGTTCACCTTCTCAGTTTAGCGTGTTAGCATGCTAACATTAGCTATTTTGAGCTAACACAAAGTCCATCTGAGGCTGATGTGAAGGTCAGTAGTTCTGCAGCTATTTGGTCGTGAACCCAAGTGTTGGACACATCAACAATTAACAATCAGAGGATCACCAAAGTCATTAGGGTTCATCATCTGGGGAACATGAATGTCTGTACTTAAATCCATGGAAATCATGGCCGCCCTCATCAAGACAAAGAATGAAGTACACAGAATGCTTATTTTTTTGCATTTCTGCCAATGTGATTAAAATCAAGTTTCCTTATTTCTGTTAAAGAACCCAACGTTCTGGTTTTCACTTTGGCTCTTCATATGGACGGTACTATCGTGTGCATTATCGATCTCTCCTGACACGCGTGCCTAAACTGCTGTCTCAGCCTCTTTTTCCATTAGAACAGGATGCAAGATTGGTAAAAATGTCAAAAATGTGTACATTACTGGGAACAACATGACAATTCAAGCAGTCATGCAGCAAGAAAGAAGAACAAAAATACATGAAGGCTGTTGGAGTTGTACTTTGGGGTTTCACTCAACTGCAGATCTGTTCTGAAATAATACATTTTCTTAATTCTTTTCAGAACACTGGCGACAGATTGGTTTGGGACTTGGTGTGAAAAGGCTTTAAGGCACGATAAAACAGCAGCAACATTCAGAAGAAAGAGCCGCCAGTCGGTCAGAGTTCTGTCACGCTACAGGAAAAAACAGCAACAAATGGGATCCAGAATGGCAATAAAAGTCATTTTCAACAGTGTGAAACCGTTGGTATTAGGTTGATGTAACTTCACGGCTTAGTAGAAAAGAGGAGAACATAAAAAGTGCGAGCCGCCCGCTCAGAAGAACAGGCGTTTCCACTCGACCGCAGGGGAAACCAGAGTCTCAGAGGGTCAAAGGTCAGACAGGAAGCTCCCAAACCAGGAAGAAGTGTCTGGACTTACACGGTGATGGAATAAAAACAGGCAAAAAGAGGCAAAAACAAAAAATGATCTTCATATATTCAGAGAAAAGTCTTTTTAAGAATTGGCAGACAAACTGCTCCTGCCTGATGACCGGTCAGTCCATTCTGAAGGATCGGCGATCTCGATGGGGTCGAACTGAGGAAAGACCACGAAACACAACCTCTGGCCCACGTACGTCGCCCTCTCTGCAGGAAAGCAAGAGTGATGTTAAATTAAATACACAATATACATTCGCTACAACAGACAGAGTCAGAATCCTTTAACAAACCTCCTTTTGGAAACTCACCAATGAAGCTGTAGATGCACTTTGGTTTTTCTTTCCAATGGACGCCCAGGAAGTAGACGGGTACGCCGGTGAGCATGATGACTAAACCGACGCCACAAACCACCGGCTCTGAGTAAAGACTGAAACCCAGCAGCAGCGCCCAGAACATCAGGTAGCACACAGGAACCAACAGGTTCACCTGAAGGAAACATGTGTTTTAAAGTTCACAATCATTCCCAGATTATTTATTTATTTATATATTTATATATATATATATATATA